ATTTCTAGTAAATAGTAGGGGTGGGCAAAAAAACCCGCCGATCCGAAAACCCGATGAACCCGATCCGATCCGATCCGAAAAATAGGATACCCGATCCGATTTTTCTTAGCGGGGCAGATGAGGGTCGGGTACCCGAAAAATCGGGTACGGATACGGATCAGAAAAATAAAAACCCGCGGGTACCCGACCCGCAGGGTATATTTTATAAATATTAAAAAAGTAGGGATCATTTTATAATTTTGTAATTTTTAATCCTAAGTGCAAGTGAAGTGGCTCGCAGCCTCATATTCTAATCCTATATGATCTACTCTTCTCATTTTTTTTTGAAGAAAGTGAATATTCTCGGTGAAATATGAACAAAATGAAAAAAAAAATTTGTGAAACTTTGTTATAAAAATTGTTCATCCCTTTCATCTTTTTTATTTTTATTCTACCTCCATCGATCTTTCCTGCAAATCTTGCATCAATTCAATCAAAGATTTTTGTTTGGAGTCTCAATTTTCTGTTAGCTAGATAATTAAAATATTTGTGTCATTCATTTGCAATTATATGTCTTAAATTTGTCTCTTTTATTTAGTGTAAGAAATTTATTTTTCTTTTTCATCACCTTAATACCATAAGGTCTATTCCAAAGATGTAAAGAAGTTGGGGAAGATTTTTAACATTATTTTGGTTATATTTTTTTCAAAAATAATTAGTTCTATTCAATTCTTTTCCGAACTTGATTTCACAATTGACTTATTTGAGATGCGGTCTTGTACCATAATATCCTTGGAGAAGTTACCAAATACTTATTATCCTTATGTTTGTTGTGTTGTAGAAGTATGAAATGTGTGAAAATGGTGATGTACTCAAAATTATTATGAAACTTCGTTTTGTCCATTAGATATTCTAATATGTACTAAATTTATGAGATCGATTTGATTATTGGATAAAATGTGTGAAAATGGTGATGTATGGACTTTAATTACAATATCTCTACCAATATTAATTGGAAAAGCATGTTTTTTATTGAAAAACATGTTGATATTAAGTAGAAAATAAATTTTTTTTATTGAAAAATAGTTTTTTTTTAGGGGCGGGTACCCTATGACCCGCCCCTTTTTTTCGAGTACCCGAAAATATTAGGAACGGGTTAGGGTCGCAAAATGGCTGATCCGATATATTAGGGTCGGGTCAGCCAAATCATGTTAGGGGCGGGTACCCGACCCGTGCCCACCCCTAGTAAATAGTCAAGTATAAGGCAAATATAAGATGTGTATTTAAAGTTCAGATATAAGATAGTGCGGGACCCTCCGTTTGTTTTGACACTTTGGAACTTTGTTACGGGGTGAATCGGCATGCGGGACCCTCCGTTTGTTTTGGCATCCTCCGTTTGTTTTGACACTTCTTTGGAACTTTGTTACGGGGTGAATCGGCATGCGGGACCCTCCGTTTGTTTTGACACGTCCTTTAGAACTTTGATAGTTAAGTTGCCAATCTATCTTTATAGCGCAATGTCCCGGAAATTTCTGTCCTGAATTAAACTTGTGTCTAAATTCTATCATTGAAAAAAAAAAAAAAAAAAAAAAAGTACCGTATTTAAATCCAATTATTAAACAAAAATAAAACTAATACTCGTTTAAATAATTCTCACCCAAGCAGTTCACAGTTCACAAGCAGAGAGCACTCAAAAATCAAAATCTTCCCCAGGGCCCCACTAGAAACCTTTTTTTTTTTTCCCCAACTTTTTGTGGCCCCATGCTCTCCTAGACTGGCGTCTCAATCAGAATGACGCCATAAAATAGCTTGAGACTAAGATTTTGGGTCGGCCCATTTCGTGTTCATGAGTATCCTATTATTCAGCGGTACTACCCAATAACTGAACATGCAAAATTCCCCAAGTAACAAGAACTTTCATTCAACAGAGAATTGGAAACAAAACCCCATGCTCGATCGCTCTTTACTGCATCAAAATTTCAGCTTTAGTTAAAGACCTATGTAGCTTTGCTCGAGTCATTTATTCATTTTCTCCTTGTTATTGTTTTCTTCCTGAAATTTTGACGAAATTGTGTGTCGAATTTGGATAGGAAAGGTTGCTAATGTGACCATCCCTGAAAGGTTAAGAGATAAGATTGATCTAAAAAAGAAGATATAAGATTCAAATCATGTTATGTATAATGTTTTCGATGCCATATGTGGGACGTATAAATTTTTGTTGTATGATAGAAGGCCTCGATTTAAACCATACCTGGGTTCGGATTCGTACATCCAGTGCATTATTGCTTTACCATTAATTATGCAAATGGAAGTTGGTGTGCCCAACTATACGATTATAAATTACTTCCTCTGTCCCACTTTGATAGTCCTGTTTCTTTTTTCACACAGTTTAAGAAAAAGTAGTTAACTTTGTTGGAAAAGTAAATTTAGATTGCTATTTTTCTAAAATACCATCATATTAAATATGGTACAACTTTATGGGAACTTCAATTGATGGTAAAAAAAGAATCAACTCTTATTAAATGGGATAGGTTTATAGTAACAACTACTTACATTGAATAAGGGTATTTTAGGAAAATTAAAATACAACTACATTCTTTAATTGGAAAATGGACTACAATTTGGGTAGGGGTGGCAATTTTCGACACGACCTGAAAACACGATACGAACCTAACACGAAATTAATGGGTTTGGGTTGAGGTTTCGGGAATTCAGGTCAGAATCGGGTTGAACCCGATGAACTCGAAAAGAAAACAGGTCGATTTCGGGTCAACCCGTGATGACTTGATATGGCCCGATATGACCCGTTTACGAATTAAAAATAATTTAATAAACATAAAAATAATTTAATCTAACTAAACTAAGTTATTCTTTTTTTCAAAGGTATTAATTACTTAATCCTAAATGAATTTATTTAATTTGTGTGAAGTTGAAATTATTATATTTAGACAAATAATATATTATATTATTTTTCACTTTTATACTGTTTTAATTTATTTTATATTTTGTTTGGGATAAAACACTTTTATGGTGTTTAATTTATTTTAGATTTGGTTTGGAATTATTTATTTAAATTTTTATTACTTGATTATGTAATTAGTTTTGTGAGAAATTAATTTTATTAGAAATTACAGTGATAAATTAAAATTAAGTTTCGGGTCATTTCGGATCGACCCGCCAACCCGTCAACCTGAAATTTTCAGATTCGGGTCAGTATACCTGACTCGTCACTGGTTGGCGGATCGGGTTCGAGTTAACAGATTTTCTGACTGGTCGGGTCAGACCCAACCCGCCAACCTGATTTGGACCCGAATTGCCACCCCTAAATTTGGGACAGATGAAAAAGGAATACAGGACTATCAAAGTGGGACGGAGGGAGTATAGTCTTTTCAAGTGTATATAACCTATATGGGACTTTTGAGCATTGTTCATAAATGTAAAAGGTAGGTGATTACATTTGGATTGTGGAGTTGACAAGAGTCACCTGAAAGATCTAAAACAGTTTGTTTGATAAATCAATTGAATGAGCTACCTGTCAATAGTAAAGTCCTTGAAGGAGAAAAACTCACCAACTTATGATTAACAAGAATGATGTAGTACAGTAATTCACTCCAAAAAAAAAATTATTGACTTTTTATGGCACAAAATTCAATTTCGATCTTAAATTCAAGTTTCCTTCAATCCAATAATAGGCTTTAGACGCTGAAAAGGAAAGATGCATCCCAAATATGGAACAGTGTAAACATAGTAATCATAAAACATCCCTTGAAGTGAACCATATATATAGTATTGGTCGTCAAACAAATTACATATGATCTGCGTGTTTCCGACGACAACAACAACATCTTCTTAATTATAATACCAAGAAGACAAAGTGATGCACATATATCAAAACGCAATTTCACAGGTAGATGGCATATTCTTCACAAGTAGATGAACCAAGAAGACAATCAGTAATTATAATACTACCAAAGGTTCATATATCAAAAAGCAATTTCAACTTTTAATAAAAATTCAAGCTGAAAACTAACACAGAACTTTGAAACATGAACATCTCAGAATCCTTATTAAATAATTCAATAAATATAATAAAAGTTACTTTGGTGATTCCATTCATTAAAATTCATCAATTATTTAACTGAGACAAAAATTTTATGTCCATAAACTCTTCTCCATATCATTCATATATAGAAGAGCAAAACAGATAAATGGCACTTTTGTTCATAAAATTCTTAGAAGGATTCATATAGAATATGTCAATGTTTAGCATAAAAAGAGATCCAAAACCTTAAAGTTGACCCTCAATGCATATATTATCCAATTAAATAATCGCGTTGAGACGGGGCTAATTAAAGCATCCATATTTATCCATAATTCTTAATCTTAACTATAAATGAAAATTGTGCTAAAATAATCACGAAATTGACATGTAAAGAGCTAAACCAGAATACCCATGTCAATCTTATGATTTTAATCTCATATGGTCGAATAAAAGAGAATTAAATAGACGCAAAATGATTGAGGATGCAGCCAAACTATTGGAAAACATTGAGCCACAACATGCAATAGCTCACAGAACAAGTTCCCCATAACCACTTAGATTTCTTATGCAAAAAAAGAAAAATTTCCATCCAAGTTGTTTGCAAGTGAAACAACTACTAGACTGCATCATATATTGTAACCATAATGTTTTTCCCACTAAATAATCTTATAGACAGAACATTCAAACCCAGAATGTTTTCTTGTTAATTTTAATCTATAATAAAAGGGAACAAAAGAAACCCTATGGACTCTAGAATAAGCTCAACTATATTAATAATAGTATTGATTTATTAGAATGAATAGCAACGGAAGCCCAAATACAGCGGCATGTTTCTTTTCCCCACTGGATTTGTTTAGAAAAAGCTCGAGTGATACGGTATTGTGTAAGTGTAACCACACAAACTCATTGATGCATGGGACCACAAACCAATAATTCGAAAGAAACCGACAAGTACCTTATTAAACAGGAGCCAGGCATGGATTACATCTATATTAATAATAGTATTGATTTTTTCTTGGATGCTGATTCTCTTGGTTTTCAATTCTCAGTGGCAATTTGATGGTTTTTTTGACCATTCCATTCCAGGTCTGCCCAATATGTGCAGCAACTAAGAAAAGATGCAATTGGGCATTTCATAAATGCAGCATGCTCAATCTATGAAGATATATCTAGAATTGCAATTGAACTTAATGTGATATTTGCGCAGATAATTCTAACAAAGACGCATCAGGAATTCTGGAGTGTTGCCTCAGCAACAGTAGCAAGCACTGCTGGAATTACCACCATTTCTTGGTGCAGATTCATGAAACCTGCTCCAGAGCCACTTGATCAACAGTTCTTTGTTCAACACCTTTTTCAGATCCTAAAGACCACACAAAAGATGCATCTTCTAGTTATGCTATCTCAACTGCTAAGGAGATAGGTAAGTCTGGCCTACTACAATATGGATGTATGAACTTTTTTTTTTTGGATTTCATGCCATATGAAGAGATCTAAATCTCATACTACTTAGTTGGCTAATTTTCAAGTGAATGAGCCACATGAGATGAGATCTAAACAACATAGCATCTGCTGTTTGGAATTTGCTGGTTTGCTCTATTCTTACAGAATATTAGTCATCGGTTGACAAATGCAACTTGCTTGGAGAAAACTAATAACCAGGTGGTGGTTTCATATTGCTGACTTATTCTGCATAATATAGATCATATATCCCTGAATCTTTGGATATCATGAGGCTTAAAATGCTAAGCAAACTGAGACTTTACTAAGTTTACAAATAATGTTCTGTAACAAGACATGGAGGGCAAAACGAAGAAGTTAGCACCTGTATAGGACTAGGCGTGGAAAAGTCAGAATTTCAGTTTGTAGTTAATAGCTTGTCCGAGCGGATTATGGCTAGCAGAAACATACATTTAACGCTATACTGTCAATTTCGAGTAGATATGATCGTCAATTAGCCGAAGAGATAAAGGCCATGACTGCATGGTCACGCGATGATCTCCATGTATGCTATGTATGCTTTGGCTTGACCTAAATTAGTGCCTAAATTTTCTATTCCATTTATATCGATAGCAAATGTATATGTTTTGAGAAACACGAAAGGTTGTTCTAAATATGAAGTTTTAGATTGGATAACAATGCTTTGACACATTTAGTCGAAATTATATGGTTAATAAAAGTGTTAAGGAAACATAAGGGATGAGAGCACGTATGGGAAGTGGAATTGATGAAGTCAATATTTTCAATTTTGGGAAGCTTTCCTCAGGTTGAAACTTAAGAACATGGAAGCAATCAGCCTCAGCATAAAAAAATTGCTGGTGTGCTCAAGTAATGGAACATAATCTCATCATATGTACATGTCAGTATTTTGCTCAGAATGCAATTCTATAAGTTGCAACTCTTCTGCCTTTTATTTTTTGGTAATTAATCTATTTGGTTAGTCATTTTGATAGAATGGGGTCGTATTATCTTTTGATTGATGATAAATTTACACTGTTGAATTTATAGTTTTCAAGCATGATATTCAGGGTGTTTAATATAATAGGATCTAAGAACATGGGATGCTCTCTAGTTCTACTAGCTTGTTTATAAATTTTCTGCTTGGAGAAGGAGAAAATGGAGACGATAGTTGATGAGCATTTAATTTTAACAGCTTGCAAAAACAGCAAAAAGAGTAAATATCATACAACAGGATCTTATTTTGGTATGAGAAGATCTCGGCATAAATCTATTCCTAGACTTCTTGATTTTTAAGCCAAATTGCAGTTAATTACTAACAGATGAAGCTGAAGAGGCTATTTGAACTGCGAGAAGTTTACTAACTTTGGGATAAATCTAATCAAATTAACTTGTCATTAATTTGAAGCCCACAGTACACTTAAGGAATGTCTATAAGAAGATCAATTGTGAGTCAACACACATGGCTGGAGAGTTTTTTTTTTTTTGCATGGCAAAGAAGAGTTCTAAGTAGTAGTAGTTGAACGCTCTTCATCTTGTACGCTACAACTTCGTTTTTTCATTAAATTTGTTCTTCTTCTGTTCCTTATATAATTGGGATAAGGTGGAGTCGGTGCTTTAATTTCGATTCTAGAAGTCCTGAGATATTCTGCAGATTGAAGCCGTATCATTTTACTATTAATGCATGATTTTCTTGTCTGATTTTAACTGAATCTTATGAATACCTCTTCTTACTGATCACCCTGTCTCACCCCTGCACCCCAATCCCTCCACGGCAACCCAAAATAGGAAAAAGAATCCAAGTAAAAATGGTCAGCTAAAGCTGGAACATATGGAAACGGTAGAAGGCACTTGTTGTCAATGAAACTTTACTAACCAGCAACACTATGAGAAAGAAAGTCACTGGAACATTTAAATATGACAGAGTGAACTGGAATGAAGGACAGCTAATGATGCTTATCAAATTGAAGCCAGTGGTGGTGGTGATTCTGATGGGCGGAGGAGAAGGACAGGTGGTGGTGGTGGATGGTGAGGGCTGCGGATGGTGGTGGTTGTGATGATGATGGTGGAGAATATACAGGAAGTGGTATGGTTGACATGTTTCCGATTTAGGGAAGTGTTAGTGAGATTGAAACTTATGAACGCATGAGGAACCATCCTGAGCATGCTTTGCCATTCCAGAAAATATTCCTCTCAAAAATTTTTTTGTGGGTCTGCCCAGTTACAGGTTCACAATCCCTTCACGCGTATAAGTCAGTACGCTGCTCAGATTTCATTTCTACAGGGTGCAAATCTTCTGCATAACCTCTTGTATGCTGTAACTTATTGTTTTCATTAAACTTACGTAATGGGGATAAGGCGGAGCAGCTACTGAATTCCAACACTAAAAGCCATACGATATTCCTCTGATTGTAGTGGATCCATTTTGTTAATAATGCTCGAGTTTCTTGTCTGACTTCCAGTGGATATTACAGAATGCGTCCACCACAGAATTGAGGGGAAGTTTACTGCTCATCTCAAATTGATTAGATGAAAGGAATTATATGCAGGTGGAAGATAGAGATAGGAAAGTTGTAAACTGGTTGGTGTGCTGTATTGATACTTGATAGTACGTTGTACAGAAAGATCGAGGAAGGAATTGAGGGGAAGCAGTAGGTTTGTATTTGCAAAACCACAGGTGACAAAATCATACGGTATTTGTCCGTGGTTTATTAGGATAATGGAGAGGGAAAAAAAAAGGGATAGTTTCATAAACCTCCCCTAAGGTTTCTAATAATTCCACTTGGTTCTTCTAAGGTTTTAAACATTACACCTACCTCCCTTATCCATTTAAAATGACAATATTAATCTTAATATTTTTAATAAAACTCTTTTATTGCCATGTTTATGCAAAGGATTTTATAATTTTTTTTTACCTTTTCCCTTCTTATTCATTTTTTCTTATATTTTATTAGAAGTATAGAAGAATTATCAATGTTGTTCCAAATATCTATCCAAATTAAACGTTAAACTAGTAATATATTTTTTTTGACAACTTTTAATATCCTCCAATTTTTTTGTAGCTCTTTTATTTAGTATCAAAATCAAGGATAAATCAACAATGTTAAAACCAAATGACCCAAAATCACTATCAAATTATGATAGTTCTACCACTAAACTAGTCCATAAATTTTTATTAAAAAAATACTCCATGAACTTTAAAAGAAACAAAATAGCACTTTCTTCTCTATCATAAAAAGAATTTATATTCCCAATAAAGCAATATGAAAAATATCATATTACAACAAAAGATTTATTGTTATAATTGATTATCAAATAACAAATATTGACATGAAAAACTTGACGCTCTTTTTGTTTAGAAGAACAAATTGAATTTTGTAAGAAAAGGGCATTTTAGGGTATTCATTAAATTTTGACTCTATTTTAAAGTTTGGTTACCAAAGTGTCAAATTAAGGGAGGCAATTGCAATTTTTAAAATGTCAAGGGAACTAAGTGGAATAGTAAGAAACCTCAAGGGAGGTTTCTGAAATTATCCCAAAAAAAATGGTTAAAGTAGAACACCACCCTATTAAATATATATATATATATATATATATATATATATATATATATATATATATATGTAGAAGCGACAAGGAAAAAATAAAAAGCGACAAATTATGTACTTGAATGGAACGGTGCATAAACAGATTATTGAAGCTTGTAAAGAAATACGCCGACAAATGCTAACAAAATACACTAAAAAATAAGTAAGAGACAAACTCCATTAGTTTTTCTTTACAAATCTTCCAAAATTTCACTAGCTACTACTTTTTTTCCCCTTCTTCAATTGAATCCGTTTCAATTTTCTTGTCTGGTTTAAATGCTTTTGAGTTGCATAGAACAACTTTCATAGGTTTCAACTTGCAGTTGCATAGATTTCTACTAAGTCATGGTCCTGTAGTCCTGTAGTCAGTCAGAGTCCTCTAGTCACAGTTAATTAGTGGTTCTAAACAAGGAAATGAAGGAAATAGAAAGTACTAATTACGTTCATTGTTTATTAAATTTCTTAAGGTACAAGAAAATTTATTTATTCTCTTAATATACCCCGGAAACTTTTTTTAATCTTTTGTAATTTAATATTTACAGTTAGTATCTATGATAAACTTAGACTCAACTCGGCATACGAATTATTTGTGAAGCCTCTAGTCCATGATTAAATAAAAGTTTTGCTGAACATTTATTTACATATGTATTTTCTTTTCGTCTTTTTAATTTTCATTTGCTTACTTTTTTTTTTTCAACAGACGATAACAATTTATAAATATTAACACTTGACCTTACCAGGATTAGTTACAAAAAAGGGATACTAACCTCATATCCTTCTTAACTAAGTCAGTCAGCCATATCGAAAAATCATGCTCCCAGTCAATATCATGTACTAGCTTTACTGCATATAGTGTTAGTGCATGGCTGATTTGATTTTCAGTTCTAGCGATAAACACAAAAGAACATCTTTCAAAGCCTAAACTAAGTTCTTGTACGTCTTCTAAGATAGTTGCAGTACTGTAGTCATACTCACTGCCTCTATTGATCTGCTCAACCACTGATTTGCAGTCTGTATGGACTATAATTTTTGTCCATCCTGCTTGTTTGGCCATCAGTAGAGCACTTCTTACGGCAAGAGCTTCTTCTTTGCTTGCTGTCCCCTTCCCCTGTGTGACAATTCCTTTAGCTTTCATTATCTGTCCTTTTCAATTCCTTGCTATTATCCCTTGTCCTGTCCTAACTCTTTTTGCTGATATAGCCGCATTTGTATACAATCTTATCTCTTTCTTCCTTGGCCGCTCCCTACTAGTGGGTATGTCTTTGTTCATCCTCCCTACGCTCACCTTCTGTTCTGGCTCCCTTTCCTATTAAAACTCTAGCCACTCATCTTGTGCCTTCCGTACCATTTTGAATGGATCCTGGTTTGCCTGTTCAAAGATTTTTTTGTTCGTGGTTTTCCAAATTTGCCAGAGGATATTAATGGTAAGACTTACTCTATCCTGACCTTGATTCATGGAAAGCGTTTGGGTAACTTTCTCCCACCAAATCCAAAAATTCTGTTGTTTTTCATGTAACCCATCCCATCTTACCGGTGCCAACTTCCATACTTCCACTGCATTTTCACAGAAGAAGAACAAATGCTCAATGGTTTCCATGTCTTCTCCACAGCAGCCACATCTTCCTTCTTCTCTTCCAAGCCTTTTTTACAGCAATTCGTTGACAGGTAGATAGTTTTGCAAGCATTTCCACATGAACTGTTTTAGTTTTGCCTTCACCTTCATGTGCCATAACTTCTTCCACACTGTGTTTTCCTATCTCCCAACTTGTCTCTGCATCATGACCTCTCTTACTACCCGGTTTGACTTCCTGTTGTCTTGCTACCGCATAACCCATCTTTACAGTGTATATTCCTGATTTGGAATGGCTCCATACCAGCTTACCCTTTCTTCTTCCTATGCTTGTCGGGATGGCTTTGATGAGCTCAGCATCTTTTGTACTAAACCACTTGTGGATAAGTTCAGTTTTCCACTTCCCTTCTTCTATCAGCTCGGTTACCCATTCCAACTTGCTTTCCACAGGTTTTGTGTCTGATACAAAGCCATTTTCTGAACCAACTATCCATCTGTCACCCCATATACTCACAGACTTGCCGTCCCCAATTCTTTTCCAAAGTCCAGCTAACAGCAGTGATGTTGCACTATGGATGCTCTTCCAACACCATGAAGCTGAGGTGGAGGGATTTTTTTCCATCCAGTTTGCGTCCTTCATGTACTTTGCCTTCATTACCTTGCTTACTAGCAAATTTGGAGCTATTAAGAATCTCCAAATTTGCTTAGCCAGCAAGGCTGAGTTGAAAGCCTCTAAATCTCTAAAACCTATTCCCCCTCTTCCCTTCACAATTGTCATTTGGGATCATTGCTGGTAAGTCTGTCACTTTTCTCGCCTTTTGTTTCTTTCCCCTTTTGCAACTTTCCACATCTTAAACATGACTTTCAGTCTTTCACAGCGTCACTTTAGCCATACGCTAAATTGAAATTGCAAAGTTTAAGATTTTGAAAGTCACAAATACGTATTTAAGTCTAAATTATAAGTTATTGGTCGGGGCAAAAATTCCAAGAACTAAGGCGAATTGGAACTTGGTTACGGAAATATGTTTACCTTCTTCATGTTCAGTGATTGATGTTTTCTTTATGCTGTCAACGGCGTTTGTTTGATGTATATAAGTCCACAAATGTTCATGATATCAATGAAAGGTTAAAATTTTGCTTCAAAAAAAAAAAAAAATCCATCCTTAGCTACTGTCCACAACCTGAACCAAGTTACCATTGCCAATTCTGCACATTGTACTCTTGGAGGGGCTTATTTGAGTTTACCAAATAAGGGTGGACGGGAAATGGCAATGGTCTTCAAGAAAAGTAGTCAATGTAATTGCTAGTTAAAAATTTTTTTTTTGTAGTACAGGTTATAAAATTAACAATAGTCAACGACCAGCTTTCCCAAAAAAAAAAAAAAAAAGGACACACGATCACTCAGTTGAACATTAATATTTGGCAATTCCGGTTTGTTTGGATAGCTCCTTTTTTCCAAATAATATTTCGCTTGTATCATAAACACATTTTCCAACCCACCTTTTTATATTTCTAATCATCTTTTTATCTCACATATATCATATCACAAAAAGTGCTACAGTAATTATTTTAAATAATATTTCAAATAACACTCTATCCAAACAGAATATTTGGCCCAACCATTCTACAATTGGCAATGACAAAGGCTACTATTTTAATGGCCAGAAACATTAATATTTGGCAATTCAATTTGGCCCTAGCATTCTACGATTGACAGTGACAAATGTACTCGTTCATGACAGCATAAAGAAAACTCAAGCACTGAATATGAAGAAGGCAAACTCTAGCATGAACTTTATGCCTCTTTTGGAGAAAAAGAGTTAAAAAGGAACAGACAAACACACGCAGAGGCACTGGATTTGGAATGTGAGGAAAAAAGAAGTCCATGAAAAGATAAATACGATGTTCTGATGAAGCAAGTGAGATGGATTTGGTGAATTTTTACGGTAGATGTATGTAGTATGGAGGATGAAGTTTACATATATTTTTACAAGGAGAACCTCAAAATTTTGGAAATTAGGCTAGTTTCTAATCTTTGAGGTGATAGAAAACCCAAAAAGAAACTAGGGTTTTAGCGTAAAATAAGGTTAGTTACTAATTCTGGATAGTAGACTACAATAAAGAAAAGCCAAAAAAAAGGTATCGGCAAAATTTTTTTTTTTAAAAAAATTTGTTGTACGCAAAAGAATGTAGTAAACATGTACACAATTACTTATATTGCATTCATGAACTTGCCAGGATGTAAGTTCCACATATGAAATCTTGTCATTGACTCATTGGGCAAGGATGTTACGTTATTAAATAGTCTTAAGGAGATAATACATTTAGTTCGCCACTATAATTATAAAAGAGACTAATGTTTACAAGTTTAGTACCAAAAACTGAAATTGTCAGTCCATTAGATTTAGGTTCCCTCCCACAATGGGAACTGTCGGTTCTTGCCCTATTCTTCGCTGCAAGTCAAGTTGTTCGGTTGCTAGTGCTACTTTTTGAATACAAAGGAGAGGCCACTGCCTTTTAACATGGTATTAAGTGTGGGGTTGTGACCCCAATTATATCAGCTCCTAGTAACTCCCTTTGTCCTTCCGGTGGCTCTTCTAATCGTCCGCTTGATGACTGTAAACGGATTGCTTCCTTCGCTAGCCAATCTGCACATCGATTTCCTTCCCTCCAGATATGTTGCAGCTTGCATGACCATTCTCTGCTCTTCATGTTCCTAATCTGTTTCACCAGATTGTGGTAAGGCGATGTGATCACTATTTTCAGATGTCAAGGATAAAATTTAGACACATTTGCTAATGCTGACATTAGACACACACACACCCCCCCCCCAACAAAAAAAAGGGCCATTTGGATGGTAAGTATGGGTGGCAAAGGGTATTGCTGGTATTCAAAAAATTAATCCTATAATAATTTAGTACTTTGTTCCTTAAATTTTCTGCAGTAAATATGATCTTTAAAGCAAAACCAAGGTCGGAATTTAAGTGGGAAAAATCAAGCCCTGTTACCACTCTCTTAATGATAAGTTGAGTTCATTTAACGAAGAGGATTTGCATCAATAAAATCAATTTTAGGATATGCAAATATAATGTCGGGTGCGATTAGGTCTTCTCACTCTAAAAATTAACTTAAGGGTGAGATTTTCCCTCAATCTAAAGGTGGATAGTAGTGCACCCTTGGGTCAAGTGGTGTGCCTATCTTCCTTCAGTCCTTAGCAGTAGCATATGATATCTTTACTTCAGGGCCAAAACTTGAGTAGATTGATTTTACAGATTTAATAGTTCAGATTGTGCCATATTATTTTACCAAATGATATGATATAATTTGGACCATTAAATTTTTAAAAATCGAATCTATTCAAATATGAGCCTTACTTCATATGCTAGGATTTGGCATGGACTTGCTCGAACGAGATCTACTTGACAATTGACTGTCGTGGTTCCACCTGATATTGATCCCCAATTTCAGCTTATTGCCAATTTGGCAACAAGATCAATAAATTCTTGCTTCCTTTAGTTTGTCCTATTGCCGTAACATGGTTATAGTGTGCGGTTGGGACTAGATTAAGCACATCATTAGAGTGATTAGACGCATCATTGGTAACAGTGATTAGGTCCATGATTATTCGAAGGAATGGAAATCCTATATTCAGAGGAAAGAATATTGAGAGAGAGTACTTTCAAATCCAGATGGAATCGAAGGACATTTTTGTCAATTATTAATCAAAAGCATCAAAAACTTAGTCAAAAGTATCGAAGATAGGAATCGAAGTTCTGAGAAAAGAAAACCCTTCATTTTCCTTAATCTCTTCATCAAATTTCTCCATAAAATTTCCAAATTCATTGATTTCATAGTTGAGATAGACACAAAAAATTTGATGAAACTTTGGCCACTCAGGAGTGAAATCAATGAATTTAGAAATTTTGTAGAGAAATCTGATGAAAAATTCAAGGAAAATGAAGGATTTTCTCTTTTCAGCATTTCTACTCCTACTCTCGATGCGTTTTATTAAGTTCTCAATACTTTTGATTATGATTGGACAAGAATGCCCTTGGATTCTGATTGAATTTATGTTTAAAATAACTAAAAGTTCTTAAACTATGCACATTTAATTCGTTAGAGATCAGTCCAAGACAAAAAAATAGATCAAGAATTAAAAGTGAACAATAATAAAAGTGAACAAAAAATAAACCAAGGTTTTTTACTCTATCCAAAAGTACTATAAAATAATCTCTAGAGTCACATCCTAGACCCTACACTTCCGTCCTGTCTTGGGTTGCTTCATTCAGTTTGTCCCTACCCAATTTCTTCGCAACCCGCTCTGGTCTCGCTCCCCCAGGACCATCCCTCCTAACATGGTCATTCGAACGAATTTTAACTTCTCTCAATTAATGATAACTAGCTGATTAATTTACTGGATTGGTGCACCATGAAAGGGGCAGCATTCTCGAATATTGCTATTTAAACATGCAATATTGCTCATTCATTAAAAAAAAACAAAATAAATATGTTCAACCCAATTGCACAGAACAATTTATTTGTAATAAACAAAGGATGCATGGGTA